TGAGCAGAGTCTGTGAATATGTGTGAGCACATGAAATGAATGATGGGTGCGTTGGACATTAGACTGCATTGTTATAGCAGAAGAAGCAGGTGATGTAACTAAACTGTAGTTTTGCCCAATGTTGGTGGACTTGTTTGGGTTCGTAGAGTTCAAGAACATTAACAAGGCACTTGGATAGGTTAGTGCAACTACTTCCATTCTGGATGCTTGCTACCCATAGATTATTAAATCTGGCAGGAATGGAAGACTGGATGGGCCAGGGCAGTTATTATTGCCTCTTTGCAGCTGGGGCCATGAAAGTAACTAAAGTCTCTTTGCAAGAACTGACTGAAAGAGAGGCCATTCTTGAAGAAATCCTCTGAGCCTGTCTAACACAGACTCAGGCCAAGATGACACTTCAGGTGATGCTTCGGCCTGAGATTGCAGAGCCTGAACACCACATGGAGCTCGGTGTTGTTAGTGATACCTTGGGCCCTTCCAGCATCTGGAGGAGAGCTACACCAGGTCCTTCAACAGTGGTGGAGTGTGAGGAACACATCATATGGGGCCTGAGGAATCTGCCCCTTCCATGGCATCAGTGGAGTAGACTAAACCAACACCTACGCCACCCAAGAGAATGCTAGTGATTGAAGGTACAGGGGCAGGCAGGAAAAGGTCCCCAAGAGTAGCATTTTCTCATGAGCAAGGCCTTCTCATGAGTAGAACGTTTGTCAGAGGGTCTATGATGAACAGCAGGAAAGTCCTGCTTGGGAGGTCACATAAGCAGTAATGTGCAAATCAGCAAAACATGAGCTTATCAAACTCTCTAAATTTCATCTAGAAGGACATTCTGTCTCAAGCCTGTATCAGATTGCCAGCTTTGTTTATTCCGCATGAAAATCTATGCATATTTTCTTCCAAATATATATGCTTGTTTTATATGTATTAATTGCATATCTCTTTGAAATGTATTCGGTCTTCTCCTATTGTATTTATGCATATGTTTCAAAAGTACATCATGTACATCTTCCAAGTACATGGATGCTATTATCCTTTTCCAAAGGTTGTTCTCCTGCCAAAGGAGCAGGTTTGTAATTTATGGGTTTTCCTGGGTCAGTCATAGCACTTGAGGCTCAGGTGGCCTCAGTGACATGGAGTATTTCTACTATCGTCAGCTGGTGGCCAAGTTATGTCCCTATTTGGAATGGAGATAATGTGACCTCAGTAGTCTATGATCTTGTAACTTTGCCATTAGATGACCTCAGTACCTGCTAAGAGGAGCTGCCCTTGAAACCTGTTCAGAAGCTGCGGTTTGTGTACGCTGCAGCAACCAAACTGATAACACCAGAAAGTCTGAGCATATGACAATAATTCTGGCCTGCTTGCACTGGCTGCCTGGACATTTCTGGACCCAATTCTAGATTCTACTTTTAACCTATAAAACTTTACATGACTTGGGACCACAACACTTAATGGAACACCTCTCAGATAGAAACACTGTCCAGACACTATGATCAACTTCGGAGGCCTTCTTCTTAATATTTGCTCCAAGGGAAAATCTTTCCACATGGTATGCCATTATGCAATGCTTTCCCACTGAGGTCTTCCTGCCACCCTTTCAGCACTAGTTTAAGAGTTTTCTTTGCTACCAGATATGTTTTAAAACTATTTTAAATTCTTTTTGACTTATGGTATGCCTTGATGATTGGTATTTTCAGCTTGCAATTTTTCTGTACCACCCAGAGATCTTTCCATGCTGGATGGTAAAGATATGAAATAAATGAAATGCAATGTGTATTATTAGCAATGACTTAGAACAGTATAAGATGTACCTGTTGTCAAACCGCTTGTGAAAAGAATAGCCATAGTATTATAAAACGACATATGAGTGGTAAGTGGTGAATTGCCTAGGAGGTCCAGCAAGGTTATATTTAATTTAATAAAAGGGATATGTTACATTAAGAACTTAAGAAATTCATTGCAACAAGATGTGGTATGATCATTGCTTAATTCATGCCTATGAGGGGAGGTCTACTAATAGCTATGCACTGGGTGCAGTAGATAAACAGAAATCCTCTATATGCTACGCAAACAGTGGGTGATGGCAATCACTTTATGCCTGAATGTCCATAAGCATCTGTGCTGGCCACTGATGGATACAGGATGCAGGACAGGGGGAGTTTAGCCTTCCCCAACAATATTTTTAGCTTTCAGGTCTTGCTGACCCATATGCAATTTATACGAATTCTTCTCACATGAATTCCACTGACTTGACTGATTGCAAATTACAGTATCCTGCTCACCTGGGAAATATTTGCTCAACTGGGAAATGTTGTAGATGTTCCGTAATGAGTTTTAATAAATCAAACACTATGCTTGAATATTATAAGTATGTGCCATGAAGCCGACTAACTTGGACGTGAGATCAGCTTATATTGGGGAGACTTCTTTTAATGTAGGACCGAAGGTTAAACTAGCTGGGACACTACATCTTGGGCTGCTAACAAAATTAGTAGGGAAGGCAGATGAATGTTTCTTACTCAATTTGGATTCCATTATATCCAATCGTTAGGCAAGACCACTTTCCATCATGCAGTCTGCAATCCTGCCAGTGCGGTCCCACCACCAAAATTTGGTAGTTTGGTGTCAGGAAGTAACACAGGTTTGATGCCAAATCTGGGCAGCAAGCAGCCAGAAAATTCTGAAGGTCAAAGCAACTCAATTTGTCCTTCTGAAGATTGCATAGCACCTTGTTGCTAGCATTAGCAACAAACCATCACATTTTATTCTTACGTTTCACCATTGCCATGCAATTCTAGGGTATGGCATCAGTTGTAGTAGAGGATCGAAGTTGTTTGCAGCCCATGGGGCACATATTTCTTACCTATGGTCCTGACAGATCACAGGAAACTGGGAAGCTGCCTTATCGGTATAAGTCAGGCCACGGGTCCACCTAGCCCAGCAATCAACATGGATTGATAAGGCTCTCCAAGATTTTTCTGTTCTACCTGGAGATTGCACCTGGGACCTTATGCATGCAAAGTACATTCTCTGTCCCTGAGCTGTAACCTTCATGGCTTAATGTCAAAACAAAGGCTGTCATGTCAGGACATGGCTTACTTTTGACAGATGGAAGGAAAAAAGCTACCTGCGTGGTTACCATTTTAACAGTAGCTGAGTATGTGGTGTCATATCGCTTGTAGTGTTGAAGTGTAAAGGAATTATATTTAATGCTTTTACAGAAATGTCCAAGTAAGTGGTCATAATTTTACGCTGTGAATTCATATAATTTGTTAACAGCATTTTACAGCCTCAGACAGGATCTTAGAGCAACTAGAAAACTGGAGAAGCCTATGACAACAAAACTATCATAGAGATGGTTCTTGTGAATGCCTAACCGGTGCTGATAAAATCAACCACACATCTGAGTGAGAGAACTGATGAAGTGTAGAGATATTTTCTTTGTACAACTGGAGTATGCTGGAGGGAGATAAGCTGTATGGAGGATCTTTGGTGCCTTGAGAATCCCCTGTTTGAATGTTTGTCTATTGTGGCCAGAGAGATAATATATTCATGAAGATTCATACTGGACAAGATACTAGTCAATCAAGTTCTTCTCAGAGGCCGATGGAAGGAAAGAGACATGCATACATGTTTACTCCTTGCCTACATTCCCTAAATAAAGCATCATGAAAATATGAACACCTGAATCTGGTCAGTATCAGTCCACTATTCAGTGTGAAAAAGTGTAAGTGGATCATGAAACAGTGGTGAAAAATCTGCTGCATCTTTGCAAAAGAGCAGAGAAGATGTTGGGAAAATACTTTCTATCCATTATGGCTACCCAAACAAAATACCACTCTTCAAAAAGTATATTACTGAATTCAGGAGAATGTTTGAAGAACACTTTCTCTCTCCTTTTCTCCTGCCTTGATGCAAATTATGTTCATAGGAAGCACATTCAGAGAAAGATCCATGGAGGTGAAAGACTGAAATCTGGATGTTATTTTTTAATTCCTTCTAGGATTAAAATGGCCCTGCAATACAACTACTGCTGTTTAAGAGGTATGAAGGTTAAAAACAAAAACAAAACCTAAGTGTCTAGGCCTTATAAAACCATTAATCTGCCCATTTGTTTTAGCCAAAGAATGAAGACATAGCCATGATTAACAAAACCACAAATGTTAACCCTTCTGGGAATGTTACACCTTTTTTGGATCTATTAGAAAGTAACTAGCATTATTAAAACAGATCAGAATTTGGGCAATAGCGTGTCCAAAGAAAAAACAAAGGGGAGCAGCAAAGAGAGGAGTTCTTGTCCTTTCTAATCAAGCTCTTTGTCATATTTTTGCTTTTTTAACATTTAGAATTCACCCTGATATAGTGAATTATTATACCCTATCGATGGAGGCAGGGCTGTGGCTGAGAAAGTCGGGGTTATACCAGTCCTACAGAGGAAGCCATTTTGTAGTGTACATATGTAGCTAGGGGTGGGGCAAAAGGGGACTGGTTCTCTTGAGCATTGTGCGACTCAGCTGTATGCAAATGTTCAAGTTCGTAAGCTTCAAACAAGCTTTTCAGAACTAAATGAAATAGTCTGTGCCTGCATTTATTTATTTATAACAACAACAATTTATTTTCTTTCTCGGCTGCTATAGGGAAAGCTTTCTGATATAAGGCAACTTTGTCCTCTTAGCTACCCATGCTCTAAAGCTCTTTATGTCAAGTATCTGTCCTCAACACAAACATGGCGGAATATTACAGTCCCCTCAAAATATTGAAATGATGGAAAATTCTGTTCTATTTTACCAAATTAATTATCTAATGCTAAGTTCCTTCCTTGATACTAACTAGCTTTTCCCCTAAGATAAAAGTAAAACAGAGATAAAAAGAAAAAGAAAGGTGAGGCACTTCAAGCAATTTATCCAGAACATAGCCCAAGGCCCACTTTTCCCTGAGACTTTCAAGTTGCATTAAAAAATACATAAAATATTTACATTTGAATAGGCAAATTTACTTACTGTTTCTTGGATGCCAGCGCACTGCATTTAAATATGCATTACAGTAATGGAAAAGAAACTCATGCTTGGATTGGAGAGTAATGCCTTGAAGCAAGGGCATCAGATCATGTCCATCAATAATTCTGAATAAGAAAGCATTTCAAAAACAGGATGTAAGAACCCATATGCTATAGGGCTGAAAAGAAGCTCTTAACTATTAGTTTACATTTCTTAATAAGTGCCATTGAAGTACAGTTGCATCGGGAATACCAGAGTGCTTGCATTTTGTGCTGAGTAAAACCCAATCGGAAGCTGCAGCTAATCCTAGCTTTCCAGTTAGTGGATTTATAAATATCTCATGTGCATTACAAAAATGTAATGCAGTACTTATGCAAATGCAAATACCTGTGAAGCTACATCCTAGCGTTTTCTGTGACATTCTCATAATTATAATAATTCAGATATTGCAAATTTCTTCAATCAAGAAAAGATAACTGAGTTTGCTCCTGATTTTTTCAGAACAAACTACTGCTGAAAGTGTGTGTGCATATATACATTCTATATATAAAAAATATTTAGATCTGGGTTTCCAGACCTGGAAACTGCAACATTGATTCAGTAATGTTGTTACATAATTCCCACAAGAAGATACTTTGAAAAAAGTTGGGAATCACATTTTTAAAATTATATTTAGCTCTCTTTGACTTCATCTATTTTAATTCCCTGTCATTCATTTCCAACCAATGTAAGATAGATTACCACTTAAATACATTTTCTGATGTCTGAAATTCTCCTTGGACAAAACTTTGTCTTCCTAAAACAAAAATGACTGAATTTTAAGAATTGCTGAGAAGCAGTTGTGACTTGATGTAAAGCACTTCAGAGGAACTAATTTTGCCATTTTGAACCTGCTTGGCTTTGTCTTTCCAGACAAATTATTTCTTTAATCCTTCAAGGATAAGGGCTTGTCCTCATACCAAGCTTTCCTTCCATAAGATGCTTCTGAATAGGTTGTATGGGGAAAAGAGTCATGTCAAAATGACAAATCCAAGTGGGCTTTGCTGGAACACTTTAGAGTGACAGGTGCCCTCCAGATGTTTTGGACTACCACTCCCAGCCCAAGACTGGGGAAGACTGACTATGAACTTTATTATGAACCTTCCTACAAAATAAAGATCATACACATATACAGGTAAAGTAGGTACAAAACATAAACCAAATGTTTAAAAAGACACCTATTTCTTACATATCTTCAATAGTTTTCAAAAACCTGCCAAAATCCAGGGAATTTTCTTTACTTTCCACCTGATTTGTTGATTTTCCTTCATGTCAAGCTTTTCCCAAGAGGTATTTATTTATTTATTTATTTATTTATTTATTTATTTATTAAAACATTTTTATGCCGCCCCATTCGCCGAAGCCTCGGGGCGGCTTACAGCAAAAGTATATCTAGGGGTATATCATTTATGTCCCCCTAGAAATGCAGGCAAACATCTAGTTTCCCCTTCCTTGCTGTAAGCTACTTAGGAAACCATATTTGTCACGAATCTCCTTCGTCTGGCCATATTATTAGCAGTTGGTGGAATAGCAGAGAGCAGGACAAGGAGATCTCCCATCACACTTTTCTGTAGCTCAATTTAAAGGAAGAAAAACGAAACAGGATGCCAACTGCCTTTCCGGTGGAAAGAAAACCAGACTTCAGCACTTAATATGAACCTTAGACCAAGGCTGATTTATTTCTGTATGTTCATTGCTTGAAGAAACTAACAGAACAATCCTATGTATGTGTACACCAATGAGTGAACTGAGACTTAATCGAGGTAACCTTGTAAAGGATTGCCAGGTCTAGGATGAACAAATGAAATTCAATTTTAGAAAATATTTTATGAAAGTGGGATCAACTTTATATAAATCTGCAATAGGAATAGGTTTCCATGTCCTAATGAAAGACATGGGACACCAGTTGATATAAATGGCTATTTGGAAATATGTTCCAAACGTTTCCATTCACAGATTCTATTATGGCTGTGAGGGGCCAAAAGTAAACAGAACTGCATTTCTGGAAAGAAAACAGAAGGCTTCCATATACCAAGTTATCTAGCTTTGTATTGCCTACATTGACTAGTAGTACTTCTCCAAGTTTTGAGACAGAAGTCTTCAGTTCTGCCTGGTGACTGAACCTGAGACTTTTTGCATGCACTTCCCTGCTGAGCTTCCACTGAGGATGGCAGGGAGTGAGTAGAGTTCATAAAATGACAGGGCAGACACTATAGCTGCATTTTAATTATTATGCAGCATTAGGTTTATATCACATTGTTTTTCCTAGAGTTCAGAGCAGTTTATATAAAACAACCCTGGAATGTGTATAAGCAACAGGCCCAAGGTCACCCACTGAGATTCATGGTGTGAATCTCTTCAGTCCCAGCCTCACACTATTCCACACTGCAGCAATTGGCTGCATTGGCTAGAGACTGGATGGAATGATGGCTTGGATGCTATGAGAAATGACTAGAACCACACAATTCTAGTCATTGTGAAATAAGGTATTAGGAAAAGGGACACAAGTAGAATACATTTAGGATAGGGGGAGGGGCTTAAGTGTCTCTTACTATCTACCCTTTCTAAACCTGACTTGCTGAAGTTGATTTAGGCTTCACCCACCCACCCAAACACATCTAGTGACATGTAATGCCATTATATGTGGTCTGAGTCCACACAGTGGACTGAAAGTAAAGAGAAGTTTTTCCCAGAATTATCTTCTTTGTTAATACATGCAATCACTGTGTGTTGCATAACAGAGAATATTCTCTTGCTACTTTTAAACTCATGCTTTGAGTAAAGGAATGGAACATTCTACTTAGTGGGAGAGCAGATAGGAGTTGAAGATAGATGCAAACCTAGCAATTATAAAATACCCCATATTTACTTAAAAATGAGACATTTAGTAGATTAATTAATGAAGCTACAGGTTTTGGCATGGTACAAATCACAACATTTACCCCTGTAAAATGTCTTGCCTGGCTATTTGCTGATGAGAGAGAAACCTAGAGATCAGTGTGTATAAGTTTCGTTTTTCCAGGCACTTGATTCCACATTTTATCAGTGTCTTACAAGGTTATACTTTCAGTTTGGAGATGGCACTACCCATCTGCTACCTGCACAAGTGGAAAATAGATGTCTGTCTGTTTTTCTATCAACATTTATCTTATACCCAAAAGCTTTTAGGCTGTACAGGAGAATATCTGAGATTATATTGGATTGTTTCAGCAAGCAAGACTGTAAAAAGTAAAGGACTCAAGTTTTCCTTTGCCCTGTGATGAACCCTTCTGCATCATAAGCTTATTACATATTACTTGCTACACACAGTGACATTCTGTGAAAACAATTTTGCTAGATAAAATTTGTGTGGTAAGTTTTAACTACGGGTAGAATAAAGTAGTTTATTTTATTTGTTCTGAAAGTGTGAGACACACTTGATTCTGATGCTGTGTTTAGAGCTACTGAGTGTGTGTGTGTGTGTGTGTGTGTGAATGAGAATGAGAATGATTACTATACTGTTGAAGCATAAAGCTTTGTGCACGAGGATCTTTCCATGTAAGAAGAAATCCTTTCCAAAGAACTGCATGTCCATGAAATCAGCACACAGTAAGATGACTTGACCAAATGAAAGCATGACAATGTTACCATTTCATGTATTGGATCTCTCAAGGCAATGATGGTTGTAATATTTCATATCTTTTACCCTTCTGTCCTGTCCTGTCTTTTCCTACAAGTGCTTGATAAATCATTGGTTGAATAAGAGTGACTCTTGACCACTGTTTTACTAAAACACCAGTTTGGTTTGTCAATGTGTGCCTCCTCCTACATGGGCTATGCAAAATTAAAAGTGACCTTGCTTTTTTATCTGAAGAATAGTTTGATATCCTAGCAAAATACAGATGGAAAAAGTCATCTGCAAGCTTATTTATTTATTTGTTTATTGCATTTGTATGCTGCCCATAACCCAAGGACTCTCTAATTGTCCTCTTTAAAATGCACCTTAAAAATGGTTGCATGTCCAGAAGCCATAATCCTTAGGGCAAGAAGCATTCAGATGAGAGCTTGGGAAGAAAATGGAATTTGCCAGCAAAGGAAACAGTCTGACTGATCTATGAATAAATTACTTTTGAATCACTATTCATCAAAAGAGGATAGATTCATTGTTGTACTTTGTGATGTGCAAGTGCTGTTATAGTTCTGCATAGTCTACATTCAAATTTCAATCATTTAATAAGGAAAGGGGACAGTGCCAAGTAGTTTGGGACATACTGAATCCAGACAGGAGAAAATGGACAAAAAAATTGCTTAAACGTGCTACCAGCAATAGGTGAATAATACAGTCAATTATTTATGCCTGTGATAGCATAAACCCATTGCAAATTCCTTCATGTTGGGGACAAAAAGTTTAGATGAATGAAAATCATCTTCTGAAGTTGCCTGTTTACAACCCTGCACACTTTTTTTAAAAAGTCCACACATTCCCAATGCATATACTTCAAAAATATATACTTGAAAATGTGCATTTTTCAAAAACATGCATTTTCATGCTTTATCAGTGGATATAAAGCTTTATCAATGACTGAGCCAGTATGGTATAGTGCTGAAGAGTGCAGGGACTCAGGCAGTTCCTGCTCAGCCATGGAACCACCTGGTGACAGGGCCAGTCAGACTCTCACCTTGACCTACCTCACAGGGTTGTTGTTGTGGGGATAAGATTGAGAGCAAGAGGAGAAGATTATGTAAGCCACTTTGAGTTCTTTGTAAGAAAAAATGCAGGCTAGAAATCAAATAAACAAATAAATAAATCACACAGAAATGTGGATTTTTCCTGCTGAAATGCACTGAAACAAGTAAGAAGTTGGAAATGAAAATCCCAAACTGAACTTTCAAGCAAATTGGGGAACTTTGGTGAGTCCAAACATAGTGAGTCTCATCCTAGTAAAAAGAGTTAGGAACTATGGATTGATACTAGCTCAACTCTTCTTCTTCAGTTTTGTTGACAATAGCACCCTTACAGGAATCCCAGAAAAAGCACCAACTTTGTTTTTTTTTCCCCTTCTCATGTCATTGCCTCCTTTTCCACAACTAAGCAGGATGAAATCCTTAATTGTCCACAAAATCAGCCATTAGGTACTCTTGTTCTCAGGTATTTCAATAATGGAAGGGTTGGCTCTTAGACTTGGGTGGGTAGCCAAACTAATTTTAATTGTAAAAATGTCAATAGGAAGAACTTTTAAAATTTGAATTGATTTGCACACACACCAACATATGAACAAGGATACATGCATCCAGCTAACCTAGGTACATCTAGGTAGTGCCCCTATTTTATCTGGCTCCCTTCTAAGTAATAAATTACTGTATTGGCCCAGCTCTCTCAATTACTTCTTCAGTTCCAGCTACTGGTTCTTTATTTCCCCTAGAACTCTATACTTCTGTCCTTTTTCTTTCTCCTTTTGAGCCCTTTTTACCTTAGACTCTTATCTTTTTCCCCTTTCTTCAGCTCCAGACAGTAGTTTCTTGATAATTTCTGCAAACTGAGTTTCTGTTTGAACTGGCTTTTCTTCTTTCTTCCTCTAACCAGTTGATAAACAATACAATCTCCTGCCCTGATAAAGCACAACTTCTAAACCTCTACATTCTAACTAAATCTTTGACCTTTTTGTACATACACAAAAAAGGTGAAAACCCCATTATATCCTAAACACATCTAACACAAAAATGGAAGACAGTTCCAGTTTTTTCAACTGCACAAAATGAACTTTAAAAAATGCATGTGAACTTAAAAAGTTTTAAAGTTCCGAATGAATCAAACTTAAGATCCTTTAAAAAAAAAAGAAAGAAACTCAAGGAAACTGAAATGGACATTTTATCCACCTTTCCATTAGGGCTACATGATTGCAAAGGAAGGAAAGATGGATGGACGGAAGGATAGAAGGAAGGAGACAGGCAAGCAAGCTTATATTTTCAGGACTCTAGTATTATCTATGAAGTTTGAGACCAAATGTTGCCTAGCTATGATTTAGTACCTGGAGAAGTGACTGAAGCTACAGTCTGAAGTGGTATGTTTGTTCCAAAAAAAAAAAAAAAGGCTTTCTAGCTGGACAAAGAGTGGAAATGATATTCTGAATTTAGATTATGGGAATCACTATTACATATTCATGAGCTAAATGAGAACCAGTTGTCAGGATAGCATTACTTTGGCTCTGCAGGAGGGAAGTTCACAGCTGATGATTCATAGACTATTTATAAGAAAGAGCAGAACGTTGTCGGCATCATATCCAAGCATCTATAGTTTGATCAAAAGAAACATGTAAGGTAGGCATAGAGTACTGTCAGGAACAAAACAGTGCTACAGGTGTTATTACGGATCAAAGTGACCGAAGAACTTATTGAAAAGACATGGAAGTTCAACTATTTAGTATGCTGTAGAAATGACAAACGAGTACAATAGCCATTAAAAATACCACCCTTGGTTATGATAGTGCTATAGCCAAGTTACAGGCTGATGTTAATTAATGCTGACTTCTATACGGTATATGCCATTATTAGTCCATGGATATTTGTCTCGTACAGGTTGAGTGCATTTAGTTTCTGTCATGTCCTATTCAAGGAGCTCAGGGACCATTGTGGTATAAACAACCACAGCTCATTTTACCCTCATCTCAATTTATTATGCAAGAAAATCCTGACAGTAAGAGCTATAATCAGAAGAACAGATTGCCTTGGAAAGTGACACCTTTTTAAAGCAGAGGCTGGATGGCCATCTATCAAGAATTCTCTAATAGTGGGTTTCCTGCATTGGTACAGGCTAGAATAGATGGGTTTTGTCTCTCCTGTGCTATCTTTAGTTGAGGTAACTCCTTGTCGAAGGTCATTCCATTCATTTGCTCAGTATTAAGAATGAGTTTCCATATGCATGTTGATCACTTAATGAGTACAAAATCAAGTGAAGGCTGGGTATGAAAGAGACATCAGAAATAAAATACCATGGCTAGAAGCTTCATGTCACCTTCATTGTTTTGATGGGTATAGTTCACAAGGTCACCAAATCATCAAATGATTAATTGCAGAGTGAAGTATATTCAACTATGAATCACCTTTCAGTAAAGCTTTGAGCCTTAATCTCAATTACTTAATTCCACAGTCCTAGACACTGCATTACCTTCTAACAATATCTCTGTTCAAATGTTATGAAACTACATACTTTGTCACATATTTAAAAAGAATTAATAAATAAAATAAAATTTAGGTGCCCATGTGCTTCATGGTGAAACTCCATTCATGGGCACCATTGGAGATGACTGCAGAAACCGTGTGAAGGACCTCTGCATTAGGCTATCAGGTTTCCAGTTTGTATGGAAGCTTCCACTGATACTATGTTCACACTATATGCTCAGATGATTAGGGGGATCATCTAAATATCCTATTTATTATTTTTAAATATGTGTACATATATTTTATGAAATACATACAACTTGCTATGAATTCTACATTAGCTTCAAGAAAATAGACTAAATCTCTAAATAAATGTCTATTTGAAGGGAACATCTATATGCCACCTACATTAACAGTGAAAACATTGGAAGGTCTTCAGTTCACTGAATTAAAAGAAGTGAATGTTTATCCTTCCAATTTTCTAATATTCATCATTTATGCTGAACATTGCTTAATTTACATAAAACAGGTAAATAATTTACTCTGTACATCAATTAATATAAAAGACTATTTCTGTAGAAACTTTATCAGTGTAGTAACTTCTCCCACAGAAGAAGTAACTATTGCATATTGCCATTCTTTTATTATTTTGAAGAAGCATTTGCTGTAACAAACCACCAGCAATTGGCTGAACTGAAGAATACCTTATTAAAGTAATGTTATGGCATCCCATAGCCATGAAATTAAGGTTATTGCTGAATATATGCAATCTAAGGTCCATATATGTGACTGATGCCAATATGGTAACAGGTAGACATATTTTGCAGTGGTGCCTTCAATCTTTTTTAAAATTCGCAAGTGTGTCCAAGGGCCCAAACAGGACTCATGTTGGGAACCCTTGTTCTATACATGTCAATTATAGAGATATTTAGTGTGGGCCTGTTCCTATTTTAACAATGCCTAAATAGAGTTCAAATTAATAAGCTTGTTAAATGCAACAGCAATGATGCAGTAGTTGATCACTTTTCATTCTGCTGAAGAAAAAACCAATGCTGATATAATTAGTCCAGATAAGAGAACCACTTTCTATGCTGAAATAGTGAACTTAGTGTTATATCTAAATAGTGTCCCAAACAGTGTCCCATTTAGTTTATGAAACTAAAATGTAAATATACTTCACAAATTGGGGGTAAAACCAAAGCTAGGATTCTCATCCTTGACTGCTAGTTGGCAATGTGCAGGGAGTTTATTTTATATGCAACTTCAGCAACATATTTGTCCTCTATACTCTGAAGTAACACAGTCTAGAAGTAGTTTTATTGTGTAATAACTTGCCTGTATAGACCCAGGCCAGCCTGTTCCATGAATAAGAAGATATTCATACATTATATATGGCCACTTCACAGACAGTACTTGTCAAGCTCTATGACTAGTGAGACATCTGAAGAAGGAGATCGATTTTGGGTCATTCTGACTAAAATGCTGATTGTGTAGCTGAGCCAGGCAGGGCTGTCTGAGATGATGGAGATGCAGTAAAAATAGCGCACAAGAGGTATGTCCAACAAAAAACCAAAGGGAACATCTGTGTGTAACTATATTACTTTCAGTCAAGACACGAAGAAATGTCTGCCACATACTTGGTCAAGGTGTGAAAAATAATATTGACCACACGTTAGGTTGGTAACACTTGAAGGTGATCAAAGGTAGAGTTTGGTTTGCTTAATTATTTTTTTAGTTATTACAACTAAAGAGACACCTTCCATACCTGTCACTGGGGAGCGCTGCTCCAGCAAGCTTAACTATGGTGGGGAAGACATCCATATTGCTTGTTGGCTCATCAATATGTTGACCAGATTGAAGCAATCCAGGCCAGCGGAGAAGACCAGGCACTCGAATCCCACCTTCCCAATTTGTAGATTTTCCACCTGACAAAAGTGAAGATAATCATTCTCTTCAATGACCTCATTTTCCATGAACAGAGCCCCCTGTGTGAAGGCAAAAACTTCTGCTGATCTGCTGCTGTTGTTACTGATCTGACAATGGTTGGTCAAGAAAGGGGCAATCCAGGGGTATGAAGAAGAGGCCATGGATCCCAAGGTTCCTCATTCTTCTCCCATCCCTGACAAGCACAACCAAAACTAAGGCAGAAACACTTGTTTCCTGCCAAAGCAAAGGTAAGAAAAAGCAAGTTCAATTTTACTATTAAAGTTACTGTTGTTTAATAGCCAAAAGTTACTGTATTTATACTGATAGCTCTCTGATGATTAACAACTATTTATATAAATCAATAAGATACATAAAATACAAGTACAATGAATACACCATAAAATGAACTACAACGGTTGGTATTAATGGAAAGAAATAACAAATTCTGTATAGAGGCTAGAAAAGGGGGGGGGGCAGGTAAATTGCCTTTCTCCACCTGGCTTGCATATATCAACAGAACTAACAGAGCTTAGGAAATGGTGATTCTCTCCCACTTCATGAAAAAGCATATCCTGTTTCTCTTTAAAATCAGTGTGCAGGATTATGAACTATGCATTCTTTTGTAATGGTTTTTCCAATATGCAAGTGGACACACAGAATTCTGTGCTCTTCAGGAAAGTTGACTCCATGAAGTGAGACATCTGAATTGCAATGACCGCCATGGAAGGCTGAAGTGGCAGGAGTATCAGGATTCAGGTTGTAGAGTGGTTTCCTAATTGAAGCCTTTAATTATAGCTGTTCCTGGATTCTATAACATGATGCCCATGAGCACCAAAGCACCCAGCCAGACCTCTCTTGGCACCTGCTTGGGTTCTTGTCCATCCTCATTCTTATTTGATTACTTAGCATGTTTTGTAATTAAACTTCTTAACTGGGAGGCTGCAGTGCAAAGTAGTGCCTTCCAGCAACCTCTTTATTTGACTTCAAATGAATGGTATCGGGTTTCATAGCTCAGGTTCTACGTCTGACTATACTTAGGCTCTTGGGCAAATTCATTTTTCTTTTAATCTCCTCAGTTTGCTTTCTGGAAAATTAGTATTTTGGGGCTTGTCATGCCTATTATGGCAGCCCTTTTGTGAGAAAACCCTGACATATCATCAAAACTTTGAATGTCCACCAGTGCAAAATTTGGTGATAAATTCTAAAACAGCACCAATGCCTACATGCAAGGATGGCTGGAAGGTTTACACTAATCTCACATAGGCAAACACAAATAATTCCGTTGGAAGGATAAAATGATAACGTTAATATATTACTTAGTGCAAGATCAAGTCCCAAGTCTTTGTGATTCAAATTGTGATCAATGATGCATTTTGAAAGGTAAAAGCCTATGAACTGAAAGCAAGGAATCTGTGACAATCGTGTGTCCTTTATCAAGTGGAGAGGGAAGGGAAGGGAAGGGAAGGGAAGGGAAGGGAAGGGAAGGGTTGTCATATTTGCATCTCTCCAAAAGGCACAAAGAGGCTACCAAATTCTTTTTTAAAAAAATATGTAGAGTCATGATCTGGATTAGCTCTGCCCTTCCTCTCCTCAGAAAATAGTATCAACTTGGTGTGCTTTGGTAGTGCAAGTGACAGTAATAGATAAACAAAAGAAAAATGAACAGCAGGAAAAGGCATAGTTTAAGATTTTCTGCTGCCAAGAAAAGGCTAAAGTAATTGTGTAGTTTAGGAAGGAAAAAAAGTTGACTAGATTTGTGGTCCTGTATACAATTGTCTTTAAGGAAATGTTATTGATTTATAGTAGACTGGGTACGATTGCACTGCAAAGCCAACCTATTAAAGATAGATGAAATTAGGGCCAATGCAATGGATAAAAAGATTCCTCTTCCCACTCAAGCTAAAATGAGGATTAGTAAGGATATGGAGGAGAGGCTTGTCCATAGAGGTGAAATGGAACCTCTGTTTAAAGATGCAGTCTATCTCAGAATTCCAGTTTCTAACCCTTCCCAGAGGCATCTGGATGCCCGAAATACAGTGATAGACTAAATCTACTTTGGTACAGCAACTCTTATTGAATATTTATATTCATATTTGCATAGATGCTAGCAAATACATTTTCCACACTTAACATTATTTAATGCACTTCTAAAAAGCAGTTCCCCTTTCTACTGTTTGTGAGTAATTACAGCCAACAGCTTTGTTGGCTGCATTTTTTACCATACAGTACAGTCCTAGAGCATGTTGTCTTTATTGCTGAAATGCCATTGGAGTGAAGAGAGAAAGAAACAAAAATAAAGGCATTTGCTTCATGAGAGAATGAAGAGCAAACATTCATTTCTAAAGCAGAGAAAACCTTGATGATTTCAAGTCTAGAAAACATTATGTCTGGCTGGAATGCATTAGCCAGAAAAACCCCAACTGAATTTCATAAAAGAAAAACAAAGAAGAAGTAAAACGATCTATTATTTCTAGAAATGAAAGGATTATGTGTTCCATATTTTTCTGAAAACAATGACAATAGTAAAAGTTGTATACTCTTGACAGGATAATAGACATTAAATATAGAATCAAAGTGGTGGTAGTTTGGGGAGGGGGTTGCAAAGTCTGGATGGCACTTTAGGAATGCAATATCCTCTGGTGAATAAAAGTGTTGGCTCAAGGGCAGTCTTTTGTTTCATGTCAGTACAGCACTTAACACAACTGGAAGAGCGGAAAACTTTAGGAGTTGAAAGGACCCTTAAAACAAATGCTCAAGTGTTGATTTCTGGCCTACCAGAAATAAACCAGGTACATGTGAGTTATATCAGCTCTTATCCCCCTGCATCACCACACGCACACACTTTTAGGTTTCAGATAGGCTAATATTGTTGATGATACATAGATTGCAACATAATAATAAGGAACAAAGCTATTTGAAAATCTAAAGCTATAGACTAGGTAAAGCAGAGCCTGCTTGTAGGGCAAAACCAACAAAGGCAGTGAAAGGACAGGTGCAGGGAGCTTGCTTCCCCATCCCTGCCAGGAGGAACCCTTCTGTCCAATGGCAGTTGCTCTGGCACTACAGACATAAGGAGAAAGAATGTTCTGGCCCATCATCAGCCAAAGGAATGAGAGCCACTGATGGTGACATCAACGAGGTAAGATCAGCCTGGCCCAAAATGTGTTTAGAAGCCCACTTTGTTCTGGCTAAAACAAGAACAATAAAAACTCATTCTCCTCCACTACCTTTCTTCATCTCCGCCTCTGTTCATCCCTTGTGAGACTCATCCTTTTTGCTTGTTATCCTGATAGCAGTGCCTGCCTGTCCGTCCATCTCTCCATCTGCCTTCCTGTCTATTGCAGAGCGTACATTGGGAGGTAATGACTGGATGACTCCATAAGGCCAGTCGTCACTCATTTTGGCCAGCAGCTGTGAAGAGCGCTCAGCTGACTCCCAAGGCAGCTGAGGCAATCACAGCTGCCCCTGTCTGGCGTTGCAGCCCCTTGGCAGCAACACTGGCAGGGCAGGGCAGGGCAGGGGCATCCCAAGCCACATGGTGGTAGGCTGAGCAAAGCACGGCTTGCTGCACCATCTGGCACTGCTGCTGTGAAGCAGTCACAGTGCCAGATGGCAGGTGTGCACTTCTCAGCCTACTCAAGAGCAGGCTGAGAAGAGTGAGACCAGGTCCCACACCTGCTGCCAAGATCAGCTGCACCTCTGCTGAGATCAGCAGCTACCGCTTTATCACTAAAAGCTCTTTTGCTTCAATATTGGTTCCAATCTGGCTGCACGTAACAATAAATAATTGAGTTCCAATTGTGCGGATGTGTTGAGAGCTTTCGAGCCAGACTAGTGCCAATTACTGCTGAGTAGATTTCAGCATCCCAGATGAGAGGGTTAATTGGGTGGATTCATGGTCATTGGCAGAATATTTATTATTGAGAATCCTCAAAACTATACTGCAAAAACTATACTGATTGAAAATTACAGTCTAATTTCTGTTTATATAAATGAATAATAGCATGTCCTGAATTATAATTGCCATATACACCACTATGCTGTTTTTCTTTACTTTTTCTTTCTGTTTACTGCAGCCCTGAATAGAAAATGTCAGTATTTAGGAGAAAGGACCCCAATAATCCTAATTTTCAGCATGAAGGAGAGTAGTGTCAAAAAAGGGGTGGGAATAAACACAGGTATATTTAAACATATACCTTTCTGAATTCAAGTTTCTTGATCTAAAATCCTGAAGACCATGTTGTACTTTGCCACTGAGCAAGTGAGACAAAGGAAAAAGCTAAATACAGTTTTGAATTTTTAAACAGAAAGTATGGTAAGCAGCTTTTGTCAGGACTGCAAAGCAACTAATAGAACATGAATGTCTCCCAGATTCTTTCTCACTGCAGCATGACAAACAAAGATAAGTTAGGAGGGAGTATTAAAGGAAAAGAGACAAGGTTATATAGAAGGGAGTAGGTTTAATTCTGTAGGACTAAAGTGAGGCTGAAGTCTCACAAGCCATGTCTAAGATATTTTTGTGCCTGAGGCATAACATTAAATGGCTCCCTATACTCAAGTCAAGCTGCACAGTAGCTGAGGCCAATCTAGTTTATTTTGGCACCTGAAAACACCACAAGACCTCTTCTCCCTTCCCTGGCAGTAATATTACTATCATCATAAATCAAATGCCTATTAATTTGCTGTCATTTTGTGACACTCTAACTAGTTGTATAAGAAATGCTATTCCTTTAGATTTTCCAGTATGGCTGGCATTCACCCCTATTTACAAACAAGGCTCTGCATTGTGCTAAGGACAAATCTTGCTCTCCATCCTCACATTGTGTGGTCCAGCTCTCATTGGCATCACACCTGCAGAAAATTGCAAATGGATGTCTGTGTGCCAAATGCACAGCTTCCCTGAGAATACTTGCAATATGCAAGACCTCCCTCGACAAGCACCTGATCTGTAACAATGGCAGACATTTTGCTTGTAATAAATAAAGGCTCCTTGGTCACAATCATGTTCTTCCTGTGTTTCTTTCACATGGGCTGATAAGCATACTCGCTACTCATTACCAAAATATCCACAATTTTCTATTGCCATTTTGTTGGGCCTGACTCATATAGATTGCCAGAGGAGAAATGCTAGTGTAGAAAGGAATCATGTAATTCATCCAACTTATGGGCTTCCTTATAGACATTACAGAGCAATGCGGGATCACATGTAGCCACGGGGAAATAGCAACCATGTCACTATGGCAACCTAGGGATGGTACCTGCTCCCCTCACCCCCCAGCAGTAATCTTATTTAAAATTTTGAATCACATTTTTCAACATGTCTCATTTAATGGCCTAGCCATACAGACTTTGGATGATAGGAATTATACAATCATTTGTTTGATTTTTTTCCTGAAATTAAATTCCAAAAATACTTTATAAACAGACACAAGCAGAATTTTGATATGACTGCCTAGCCTCTCTTGTGCTTGACAAGCTCATTAAACTAATTAGAGACTAAATTTCAGAAGCTGATGTAGCTCTGCTCCCTCTGATATGAAAAGTCAAGCCTTGCATTCATTTATGAATCAAAAAGCATGAGATGTTACAGTTAAAAATGGGAAAAGTGAACATAGAAGTTATACAAGCAGATGAATGTTCATGAATTACTGTGATTTTGTGTCCAGCACTAGAAACTTTGCAGAGGTTGAGATGCTTTGGGGTCTTGGGAAAGGAAAAACTTCAGGCTACAGAGAGTTGATTACCAGTCCTGCCCTCCACAGCTTTTTTCTTCATTACACTTGCCCCAGGTATAGCATACAGAGTATTGGATTCAGGACCTGGGAGATCTGAGTTCTGGTCCCTACTCAGCCATGAAACTCATTGGGTTGCTTTGGGCCAGTCACTCACTCTCAGCCCAACGTACATCATAAGGTTGTTGCTGTGAGGAGAAAATAGAGCTATGAAAACTGCCTCACTTATATTGTGGGTTCCTCACAAGATTAAAAAGGTGGGATATAAATGCAGTAATGTGTACACACACACATACATATTGCCTGTAGCACATTAGTTAAACTTTGTACGAAATGTACAGTTTGCTGCTGACTGATGATTCTTCTTCTGAAGTTTGAACATGGGAATCTGCCTTTATCCTAGAGTGCTTCCAGATAAGGCTTTTAGCATGCAATCTCACTGCTTAACTCATCAAAACTTATGGAGTGGAGTCCAGATGACATTGTTTTTTCTTGCCATCCTTTTTTTTCCCCTTGCTACTTCTGCCTTTTTCTTACCAGAGAAAATGTGTTAAGGAATAGATAGTAGCACAATGCCTTCTGATTGTTTGCACTAGGATCTTTCTATTTGGGATGCCCCTAAGGATGCCACAATGTCCTAAAAAAATCCTACAATACCCAGCATGGCCCAGGCAGCACAGTTTCTCCCTGGTTTGGCAGGGTGTTGGTGCTGTGGACTTGGCAATCTTCTAAGCTAAAATGAAGAAACTTGGAGGGTTTTGCCATCTCTATCCACAATGGCTTCCCACAGCCAGTTCCAATGACTTCAAGACTGCTTCGATGTGTTTGCTTTGTTCATATACTCTTGAATAGATTTAAGATGGAGAAAAACTACTCTGCCACACCATTTTTATGTTGTTTGCTTGTTCTCTTTTGCCCAGCTTGGTGTGACCCTCGCTATATCCAAAAGTTAACCTGTTCACTCTTACTTTGTGATATGTTCTCCATGCTCTGGTTTAGTCTTCCTAACATTTGTGTGAAGTGGGGCAGGGAAGGCATGTCATGTGGCCAAACTGTTAGGCAAATATAAAACTAGAATGATATTGCTGTCTATTCTTGAAGATTGAGACATGGGTGGATGTGATAAATAAATAAGTTTGTTGTGAGAAGAAATAAATCTAATGGGTGTTGTTGACAGACACTGCATGGTAAGTTTAGAAGAATTACTAGAAGGTAGCTGAAATAAGCAACATTATACATAATGTGTTGAATCGCAAACACATTACCAAAATGCACACACTTAGCAGGGATATCCCAAGATGTTTTTCTGTCTGAGGCAAAGGGCATCTGCTTCCTTCCATGTGCAGAAGCTGGTCATATTGGTAATTGAATATCACTTCGACTTTGCCAAAGGAACAACCTACACCTCCTGGGAACAACACAGCTCTGCTTGAAATCATCTCACTACTGTCATCACTCTCCTGAACATGCCCCCTGAAGTAGGTGCCTTCCTCTGCCTAATCTTGGAGCCAGCCTCACATATGATGTTGTGATGTTCTAGGAGTTTAAACACTCACAGACTTGTTCTTAATATCCATTCTTCTTCATTTTTATAAACTTCGATCCAGGTTAGTGCACATGTGACTGACAGGTTGTTGGATTACCGCATCCATCATCCACACCATTGAATAGGGTGGATGATGGATACTGAGATGCAGTAACATCTGTGGCACTACATGCTCCCCACACCTAATGTATTCTTTTACATTTGTAGTTGTACCCATATTCGATCTCTTACAATTCTATGATTCTAAGCAGTGGCCAACTTATACCTTTATATATTCCATTACAGCCACCATGAACTTCTCCATTACTTGATATCTCTTCAAGATGAGCCCCTTGGTCAGATGTGAAGTACACAAGTGTCTTCTCACTTAGTTTCCATTGGTCTAATACATGGAGAACCTGTCCTTTAAAAAGATAATGAAAAGAAGAGTAAAAACAATGACTTAAATAATTCAGTTCAACATACAAAATGTATACCTTGATAAGGAGCTTTGCCTTCAGATTATTGTGAGATATACCAAGCTGCACTATGGAAAGAACTTCTGACATCCTGTCCAGCAAGTCCCCTGGCCATGGCTGGGAAGCTTTCAGGAACGATGAAGCAAGAAAACAGTCCAGTCCAAGGCCAACTCACCGGATCCACCATAGCAAGCATCTAGGTCAGTCAGGGATGTTCAAGAGAGCACTTCATGGGGCAGCTAAAGTTCCACAAACATGTTCAGCCCAGATAAGCAAGGTAAAGCATGGAGTTAAAACTGTTATTTACAAAAGCTAAAAATTTAGCTTTTTAGTTTACAATTTGGCAAAAGAGGATTGGTCATCATAGGGCTTCTGTTTTGAAGTTACTTTTTCAGAGGGATCAGCATATATATTCTAATAGGTAAATATCAATGGAGTCACAACATAATAAGAATTACTAGTAAATCACACATTCAGAAGGACTGCTGTTTGCAGATCTACTTGCAAGCAAATAGAGGGGGGCATCATGCATCTCCTGGGTACTGGGCCTCAACCAACCCCTTACACCAACTCTGCCTGGCATCATAAAATGAAGCCCTGTGTCTGGAATCTTTGGATCCTAGTTGTGTACAAACTCTCTACTCAATGTTTGCATTACAGAGTTTAGGCTAAATAAAAATGTCCCAGAACTAGAAACCCACCTGATATACAGAGATTATTTTTAAAGGTGAGCAAGGTTTGAACGTGACTCCAAAGCCAAAACTGCAGATATCATACTATGAGATCAAAAAATGGATGTTATTAGATCATATAAAATGTTTTTTTTCAGTACCTTGTCTTCCCATAGTCCCAGTATATCTTCTTGTATCCTGTCAAGTCAAACCGATTTATCGTTGCATCTTTCCTGTAATCTATGTTTAATAACTTACTCCTTCAGTTTTTTTAATTATTTCGCTTATCTTTTAGCATGCCAGGGTATTTTAAAATAGGATGCTCCCACCTTTACTTTACTGCATTCACAACTCTTAATTGTCTCATTTCAAACAGAGCTGATCCTCAGCCTTCCTGGGATTCATCATGACATTTTCATTTGCACTCCATTTCAAGCCAGTTTCCACCCATCTTCCCAGCTCACAGAATAGGGCAAGCCTAATAACTATTTCACTCTTCATTCTGATCCACATCTTCTTGTCGCTTGGACTTGTCATGTCTTGCTCTTTCTTTGTTTTGCAGAACCGTGCATCTCTGGCGGAAACTGTTGCCTCTTATTAGATATTAATTTTAAAAAGCAAATATTACTTAAATGAGCACTAAATGATGTTTTATGTGTACGGGATTTTTAATTTTGCAGACAAAAAGGAAACTCGCTGCATTCCTTTTCAATACTGAGTTCACACCACCCATGTCAGGAAAAAAGACAGGCCTCACTTGTCCTTGCCCCACTGCAATATTTGCCTAATTCTCCTCATCCAAACTTGGTGAAGTGTACGGAGGAGGTGCTTTCAAAACACTGAGAACCATGGCTTGTTTTAGGGTAATGGGTTCATTTGCAATCCTGCTGCATGCCTTCCCAAAACTGGGCACAGCACTCTTAATATCAAGAGAGAAATTAGGCAAATTGCACAGTACATGACAAGCACCGAGGGTGAGAACAAAAGGGCACCATATCTTCTTTTCTTTTGTGATCATGCAATCCTGGCACTCTGCAGTTGGTGATCCAGAGCCACAAGTGGGAAAGAGATTATTTTCCTGCTGTTACGTAGACAGGTTAATTGGTCAGAAATGTTTCTTGTTCCCTCTGGCTTTTGTTTTCCTTGGCCTTCCCCAAACTTGCAGACTGCTGTTTAAATTGGTGTTATCTGCTTTATATCGTGTTATAGTATTTTATTGTATATTTATTGCATACTTCCCAAAGGAATATAGACTCATCTGAGTGCATTGTGTGGATTTTGACGGCATCCTTTTTCTAAGCTTGAGGACAGCCAAAAATAACATTAAATAAATGCAGTTAAAATAATTTTTTGTGTAAACCACTGAAAGAGCTTTGGGTTTTGGTGGTATAGAAAAATATTATTATTATTTACTTTTATCAACATTTCATTAAATCTAAGTGCCAAAGAAAAATACAGGCCTGAAGCCCCATTCCATTTAGTGTCACAGCATCCTATGGATGTTTACAGACACACACGTAGCATTATATGCAATGAATGCAGAGATAAATGAAAGTCACCCAGTCCAGAATATGCTCTGGATGTGCAAAGGCAAAACATCAGTGTATACACCGACTGGCCACAGCATTGACACCACATCGCTAGCAAGTTGGGGAGAGTGAAATGTGGCCAATGCTATAAGAACCAAGTCTTTCCAAAGTGACTGTCAGACATATTTTGATGTCAATGCAGAGCTCTGCCACAGGGTGCAGATGCCTTTGCTTCATAGCTTCAAATGCAGCCTCAACCTGTCTCAACCATCACTGAGTCATCCACTGAGAAGGAAGGCAACAAGAGGTCCCTTGTTGTATCCAGTAAGAGAAGCAGAGAAAAGTACAAAACCCATTATTTAAAGGTATACATAGCAAAGGTAGAAGAACTAGAAGCTATTTTGTAGATTGGTTGGCTGCTTGGCTGGTTGAAGTCATACCCAGCATTCCATCAAGAAAATGGCTAACTCATTCACTAAGTGTGGATTGTTATGTAGCCAAAACAGCATCCAGTCTCAAATAACTCTGTCAGAATGAAACTTCTGATGAAAAGAGGATAGATTTGGCTTGCTTGATCTAATGTTATTTGATTGGTTGACTATCAGTAAATATGATATTTTCATATTAACTAATAAAATATGGTATTAATAAATAGGATAGATATATCTTCTACCCTGATCAATTTTGGAATGATTGATCCTCTCTCCATATGGGCTTCCAATACACAAAAACAGATAACATACTTCTCACATTTATAGCAGTGAGAGAGGTGGGATACATGATATCACATCAAATACAATGTGATTCATCTTCACATGCAAAATTAAATGTATGGTGAAACCCAGATTTAAAATGACAAGAAAACTTTGGTGATCTTGGAGAATAGGTTGATTTTTTAAGCTCTGAATGAGTTCCAATGATAATTTCTCTTGTTTCTCATGCTAAACATTTTCCATCAGTTATGGATTAATGGCAATACTTGCAATACTTCTATCAGTTATGGATTAATGGCAATACTTGCAATACTTCTATCAGTTACAGATTAATGGCAATACTTGTTATGAGCAATACTTGCTCATAACTATGTTTGGCTGTCGAGAGGTGCAGCCCGGTATGTAAACATTCCACACATTCTAGAGCAATAAAACCAAAGTCCTTTAATGCTAATTGTCTACAAGATTTACAATTCTATAGATAAGTTCCCTAATAGCGGTCCTTGCTAAGCAGACGTTAGCCCTATAATGGCTTCTCTTCCTGAACCCACATGGGATCACTCTCCCAAGTCACGCCTTTCCTCCCTCTTATGCAGTCTACTTTGCAGCTGTTCAAATCGGCATAAAATACGTCTGTTCTGGGCCCTTGAAAAATCCATTTTTTCTGACGCCTATTGTATCTTCTGTTTCTGGCTCAGGGAGATCAGCATCAGGGGGGAAAGAGGCAGTTTGCTCTGCCTCCTTCTGAGCAGAACTTGCAGCTTCCTCTTTCTCATGACTCTCTCTCTCTGATAATGGTCCAGGCGTTTGCTCAACGTGCTGGGGCTCAGAGGAAGACGCAGCAGCTGGCTCGGCCGTCCCTGCGTTGGGCTGTGGGGTCGACTCTTGGGCACTGGGTGTCAAGTGCAAGGTCTCCTCATGAGTCACTGTTTCTGTTGGGGCTTCATGCATGACATTGGCCATGATGCTTTTACAGTTTCAGGGACCCTTTCATTACTTGAAATGTTAAAAGCTGAGCAGTTACAGCATTCCACAATCCAGGTTTATATTAATTTTCAGTTAATAAATATAATACACAGAATCTTAAGCAAGAACGGAATAATGCATTTGAATGCCCTGCCTTCCCAGTTAATGCACTGCTGCACTGACATGTATTTGAGTTCCTTGCAAGAGGAAGAAATGTGGTATATAAATGTAATATAGTAGTAGTGATATTTCATAAGGGTTAACAGATTTCAGGTTATGTCTAATACAGCAAAGAAAAGATAGACTGGATGTCACATTGTCGTGCTAGACTGGAGTTCACCTGCCTCAGAGGAGGGGAAGTGGGCCCTCTGGAAGACTCAGGTACTCAGCAAGTACCTTTGGTACCAATTCCTGATTCTAGGCCTGGCTTAACGCTGGGTATGCACACCAATCCCAAGAATAGATTTGCTGCTTCTGAAGATCCAAACCTATAAGCTTGATCTACTTAGTGGGATTATACTTTTAGGGCTCTCATGTATATTATGGTACTCTGTTTTAGAAGGAAAAGATCACCCTGCTCTTTCAGACATTTCATGTGAAATTTGCCTCTGATTTCTAACTGGGAAGGCAATGTGCTGGCTAATGACTGACTACTGTTTTAATGCAAGGCAGACACAACCTTTCTTTACCTCAATATATCAAAGTGTCAGAGGCAGAAAGACTGTTCAGGTGAAGTTTGCCCTTAGCATAATTTTTTATCAAACTTTCTGTAAAAGTTATATTTTATGAAAAAAAACAATCTAAGCAGAATTTCTTGACTCCAGTTCTTTTCTTCTTTTCCTTTTTCTTTTTAAATCCATGTCAGTGGCAACACAGGAAAGAATAAACTGAACTGATTATGATGTAGCAGAGCAAGGAGGAAAAAACTGGTTAAAAGAACAAGTTATTTTTAAGAGCATCCATTCCTCATCTGTATTTGACATCTGACAATGTTCCAAGCAGTACATTTTACCGCTTCCCGGAAAAAGACGTCACAAAAATAAGACCAAACCTACATCTCTATTTC